CTTTCCCTTATTTTTTGCCAGGCAAGGTCAGCCAGTGTATCCAATCACGACAGGGGGTTTCCGCCACCCTTACCCAACAGCTCTGACCGTCAATGCTTCCATGTCAAGGTGAGTTCAAATACTGAGGTCCTGAATTGAGAGCAAATGTAACTCTTCCTGCCGCCCTCTCTAGAGGAGGGCATTTAATCTAGGAAGTGTATTTCTGAAAGCACTTCAGTAAAACAGTCATCCTTAGTTGTTTGCTGGGGTGCAGAGGACATGGGGTACCTTCCCATTTGACAAGAAGAGGATGTCCTAGTGCTGTCATTGGGCTATAAGAATTTGTTTTTGAGGGAGAGGTGGAGGAGTGGGAAGTCATCTTTAAAAGCCAAAGTAAATGAAAAATCTGGGAGAATGTGATTTTGAAAAAGTGAGAAGTAGTGACACCTTTTGCTTTCTTGGTGGCTGTCACCCAGCACTGGCTGCACTCTGTGTGCAGGAGGGAAGGCTCAGGAGAGAGGAGGGCTGATCTTCAGGCAGAGTTGGGAGGAAGGTTACTGTATTTTCCCTCACCAGATCTCCAAACACTGATAGTCAACATAAAAGGGCCTGCCTGACCCTCTAAAGCTTTAGAAGTATATATTTCTGCCCCTCCCTACCTCCAATTAATTCCATCTAATTTTCCAGGGCTGCTAGTTTTATTTACAAACTGGTTTGCAGCACTATGTTTAAGTAATCACTAATTGCTCCTAATGATAGTTTTATTTTCTGTTCATCTGATTTTCAGTCTGGTTAATTAAATCGGTGGAGGTTTAGACTTTCCTGATGGGCTGAAACAGCTAATCCATTTTGATGATGGCACATAATTAAATTAGCATGCATTACAGAGCAAGGTTCTATGTCTCCTCCCTGCTCTGTCCCTTCTTCTCCCACTCTGCAGTTTAACATGTGAGGATTGGTGTATAGAGGATTTAAGGAGGAAAAGATTGGGGGTGGGGCAGAAAGACACCTGATTGAGAAATGGAAACCTGAGACTAGCACTCATGAGTGAATGGGTAGGGAAATGGTGTGGTGTGTGCTTTAGATAAGTAGAGTAAAAGCAAAAAATTAACATTTGCCTGTGTTGCTCCAGCAAACAGAGAGACAACTGGAAAATCAACTTTAAAAAAAATTAATAGACCCAGAACGGCAGAGAAAAAATCCTGGGTTGGGGAGAGAGCTGCAAATTTAAACAATGGTTCCCTCCCTCCATTTAATCTTTTTTTTTCAATCTATAAAAGTCTTGCAGGCATGGTGTGAGGCAAAGTAGAGCTTGATTTAGTTTAATTATTATTAGAGAGGCTAGTCATTTGAGGGAGGGGGGAGATGTGAAAGGGGGGAGGCTATATTCCCAAGATAGACTTTATGAAAGGTATCTAGTTAAAAAGAGTACACAGCAAATTAAATACATTATTGTGGTAATGGGACGACAGAAGTAGAGGTCTATTATACTTATGGCAGTTATAGGAAATGTAGGCTCCTTGCCCTGTTCTAGCACATCCTTTGATATTCATTCCATTCAGCAGCAGGGCCAGGACTTCTCAGAATTAAGTGATGGGTCATTATACTTTAAACACCATGGAGAAGCCTAGATTGGCAATTAAACAGCACTTGCTGACACTCGCTTGTGCCACCCTGTGACCCCCTTTAGATTGAGTTGTTGGAGCTCGGGGCCCTCAGCCTGCTAAATTGGTAGCAGGCACTTCTCCTGACGAGGGCTGGCTCTGAAATCTGCCGGCTTCAAAGGGAGCAAGATCATGTATAAACCATAATGTGGGTGCACCGTGGCTCAAAAAATAAGGCAGGAATAGATGAAATGTTACAAGTGCAAGGGGAAAATGAGAGAATAATGACAAATCTAATGCAACTCAAAGCAGAATTGTTGCACAGAAAAATGCATCCCACTGCTTGTGCATAAAATCAAGGCAGGCAGATGACATCCAGTTAACAGAAACATGTCAACAGTGAAGTAAAGTGAGAGTGAGTAAGAGAGAAGCCCCTGAGACAGCCAGGAACAAAAAATTAGTTGTCCTTAACAAGTTAAGACTCATCATTATATTCTGGCTTGGAGCCATAAAAGGAGACAGTGGTGTATAATGAGCTGCTTAGAATTTTTAGGGTGTTTATTGCAATTCATGGAATACTTGTCTAGAGAAAAAAATATGGGGGGATGTCTGAGGCGAAGGTGAGGGGTGTGCATATGCACACAGCCTTTCTTTTTGCCTCTGACGCGTGCCCGTACGCACGCACACCCAGGCACACAGGCAGGCTGACGAATAGGTTTAAGATGTTTATCCTTTGTTTCAGCCCAGAAACTTCTCTCCTGGCTTCCCATAGATGGCAAAACCCTCTGGGCAGACCGTGCTCTGATAGGTGGTTTGAGGCATGTCTTCTCATGCTCACTGTATCAGCTCAGTGCCTGGTCAAAGCCGCGGGGCAGCCCGTGCCCTCTGGCCAGCAGAGCTTGGTGATGGGGCTGGCCTGCCTGGGGATGCCCACACTTGCCTGCAGATGTGACCTTCATGGCTGGCCTCTGGGCAACAGCCCTGCAGGGCCCTGGTACAAGCCTTGGGGTCACTGTGTTGGCTCTGCCCAAATGTTGAAGCCAGGGAAGACCCCAACCTTACCCTTCCCTCTACATTTTTCCAGAGCCTTCCTTCAAAAGTAGTTCCTGTCTTTGCCTGCCATTATAGTACAGGCCTTTGGAGCATGTAATGCTTCCCAACCCTGAGTATTCCCTAAGCTTAGTAATTACAGTTCATTAGTTAGAGTGTGCTTATGAATAGTTTATAAAAGGTCAGTGGGTGACTAATAGTGATTTTCATAAATGGTTTAAACTATTAAGGTAGTGTCTTCAGGTTGTTTTAACCATTTAAAACTCTTTTCTCCACTTGTAGTGTTGCCCCACTCACTTTGCCTGTGTGCAACGTGGTTATAACATCTCTTGGTCTTTCATTACCCCTTTATAATATGCTCTTAATGTAAATTCAGACAGGGTTAACTGACTGATGGGCAAACAGTGGACCCACTATGAAAAAACAACTGCTGTGAGAGGAAATCAGGAAATAATTTAACAGAATTACACCAGACAAACACTGCACAGCCGTTAAGTGGTGGCAGTGGAAAATACCTTCTGTAATTGAAATTTCAGGGGAAATTCACTTTTGCTGAATGTAATTACTGAAGTTGGAGTGCAGCCAGGAACTTAAAAATTGCACTCTCCCCCCACTCTTACTGCCACGTGAGTGGATGTCTACATGGAAATAAATAGGCAGTTGGACTTTGGGCTGAACCCCCAACCCAGCCCACTGAAGTCTATGGGATTGTATGAGCAGCTTTGGTTCTGAAGCATGTTTTTATAGCCCCAAACATAGGAAGGGGTATGGAAGTCCCAATAGGCAGCCTTGTGTCTTGCAGGGAGAGAGAATGAGTGTGAAATACTGATTGGTCATTGGTAACAAACACACAACTTCCATGGAGAAACTGCTACCCCAAAAAATAACCACTGAGCTGCAGCTGCTTGTTGTTGAAGGCTGCTGTGTCTCTGAAATTTAGAGCTTGGTAGGTAAAATCTCATGCCAGCTGAAGTCAGTGGAAGCTTCACCATCCTCCAGGCTTCAAAACAAGATGTGTATATAGGTTTCTGCTCCTCTGCTGCCCTTCCTCCCCACCTGGTCACTGTCCTGTGTGCAAACACACACTTTTTCTCCTGAATGGTAGTCGAAAAAACTCTTTTCCCCATAATTAGGGGAGGAAGTTGCATTTTTTTTGCCAGTGTTCTTCGCTCTCCTCCATTTTGTGTTAGCTGGAGGCACTTTAATCTTTATAAAAAATAAATAAATTAAATAACCCCTATGTTTATTGAATTTAGTTCCCCATATGATCCTGACCATACAGCAACCCAGCATGTGGGCAGATTTCATTTTTCAGACTGCTTAATTTTTTACTAGATCCTTATTTGAGAAACTAGTCCATTACTCAGTTGTCACAACCATGTCACAGGGTCCTCTTCAGAAGCTTAATAAATGCCATCTTTTGTCACCATGAGCTCCAGTTATCATCATTCTTTTGTGATATTTGGGAGCCCTTCTCCAGTGATGAGTCTAGCCTTGTTCAGGTCCACTCATCTGTCCTTCCATCTCTGTGCTACCACTGCACTCAGTTAGCTCTTCTTCCTTGCTGGTAGATCCTCACTGCATTTCCCACTGTGTCCTCATGCCAAACAAGTGCAGCTTCACTTCCATCTTCATCCTTAATTGACCCATTGTCACTGGCTCTCCTTCCAGTTTGAACTCTAGCTAGCCCCAGTTGTGTAGTCCTCTCTTCAACTCTGGGTCATGCATAAGACAGACAAACGATAGGATGTGTGCCAGCTTTTTATCTCTACGCTTAGACCACTTTCAGTGAGGTCAGGGTTTTGCCGTGGGTCTTATTTTTGCCCATGCTTATAAGTTATTTTTTTTAAAAAACAACCTCTTGCTGTCAGTTTTTATTGTTTGCATTGTGCTGTGGCTGAAGGCCCCAGGCACCATGTGAGCAAACTTAAAGTATGTCCAATCAAAATACTCACACATGCAAAAATAGAGAGAGGGAGAGCAGAAGGAGACAATAAAAAGGCCCAGTATGTCTTGCAAATGGTGAGGCAATTCTGTGGCATAAATAGGACCAAGGCATCAGTCTCCTTGCAGTCTCACCATTGTCTTCTCCTCTGAGCTACCATGCACCAGAGTGTTTCCCCAAGTGTGCATTTGTCTCCCAGCTGCTTTTGTCAGAGACTGGAGAAAGCATTTTTACAGTCCATGTGGAGATTTATGTCCATGGGTTTTAGCAGAAGTAAAAATCTGTGGAGTAATGAACATTTTGCTGCCCTTTCTCCTCTTCCCCTGCCATCAAGTCCTCCTCCTTTCCTTCTCTCCATGGCTTTGTGTGGAGCTGCAGTTATCTACAGTTTAAACAATTTTACATTCTCCCTGTTGGTCTCATCTCTTCCCACCACTGCTTTCAAAGACAAAATACTTCTGTCTAATGATCTGGAGTACTACCAGCTGATAGACAAAGATCCTCAGAGTTTGTAGTGGACAGTACCTCTTGTTCATGAAAGTACTACTGTGTCATCTTGTGAATGTAGGAAATGTCTAGGCAGTTGGCGGGGGGTGTTAAACTCAGTAGTGGAATTTAAGAGAGGGAAAATAAAGAAATCCCATTATATTTCTGACACTTGTACATGGTCAACTTACCCATGTTGTATCACCCCATTTTAAATCCAGCTTGATAGAAAAAAATCATTGTGTATTGATTATAGAAGAAATAATTCTTTATCCCATTGGGTACTCCATATTCTCAGGGTACTTTCTTTGGACAAAACTGGTTCAAAATCTGGGATGAGAGTAGGGATTTGCAGTGATAAAAAACCTTGTCATTTGCCATAATCACTTTAGCCTTGGATTTCTGGAGAAGTTATTTTTGAACCAGATTTTTAGGCTAGATTGCATTCACTGGAAACCTTTTGACTTCAGTGGGGGTTTTCTAAAGGAGAGGCAGTCATAATGTGCTTTCCTTATTCCTTGCAAAACCTTCCTGAGACTGGTGAAAAATAGTATTAAGAAGTCAACCCTGCTTTTCTGAATTTTGTTCATTTTGGTTTAAAGTAAAAAGTCTGAATGGTTGTGCCATGTTTTTGCTGTGGCCCTGACCAAGCAATTAGATTCATACAGAAGGACTGCACATCTGTCTGAATCCAGTTGCAGGATCACGGCTTTTCCATGTATATGACCATTAACCATAAAGCTGACAACATTTTTTCTCTTCAGAAAAAGCTAGACTGTTATTTTACATTAATTTAAGCATTTCTGGGCTACCTTAATAGTCAAAATATATTTAATTTCCACAATCTTCCCACCTTCTGTTAAAGCAATGTGGCTCAGAGATTTATTAGACACAAATAAATATTTTCTTTTGCTCCATCAACAAAATGTAGCTAATGAGGCATCTATAAGGATTATAAAAAATGCATCTAGATTGTGTTGCATTAATATTTTATTTTGCTGTCAATATGCAACAAAAGATGTCATCCCAAATTCATAACATGATTCAGAAGTATAACAATTGATTCCTTGGTTGCCACAGATAATTTATTAGCTAAGAAATGGACTGGTGGATTTACTTGCAGGTAGCTGAAATTCCACTTTCATCCAAGTTCATCCAGTTGAATTTGTCTTTTATTAAAGATATTAAAAATCATGATGTCTCATGTCAGTAATGATAATGAAGGGGAAGATTGGCTTTAATGACATTAGAAGAGTCATTATGTTTAATTTATTGCTAATTAATGCTGCCAGCTTTCATATGCTTTGTCTGGCTGTCATGTGCTTGTTATGTGCCTTTTTTTGTGTGTGTGTGTGTGTATACACATCCCTCCCCATTCATTCATTTTTATTCTGACGATTTACACAGCTTTCTCTCCTCTAGGTTTCCTCCACACATGGTCCCGCCACACCATAGTTTACATACAACTGGAATCCCTCATCCGGCCATAGTCACACCAACAGTCAAACAGGAATCTTCCCAGAGCGACGTCGGCTCACTCCACAGCTCGTAAGTTGTTGCTTCCTGTCTCTTAATATTGGAGCACCCCAAAGCATCCCTTGTGCATGTGTGGCTTTTTAAAAGGCTTAGACTTTCAGGAATGTGTTTGTGGCAATATTTTTTGTTTTAACTGCTTTTTCTCTTCTAATTGATTTGAACGTGGCTTAACTACTGAAGTGTGTCAAAATCATGGTAACAGTCTCAGACTCATTCTGTGACATATACAAGTACTTATTAACTTTACCCATTTTAATAAGAAAGTGGAATTTTCTTAATATTCAAGCATCTTGACTAGTTTCCCTGTTGTTCAGTGCCTAGTTTGAAGCTGTGACACACCAGATACACAACAGGAGACAATAAACCAGTGCATAAATGGCTTGTTCAAAGCTGCATAGAATGCTGGTGGTATCAAATTTAGGTTTGAAGCAAGGAGAGCCGTGGTCTTCCTCTAGCCCTGGTGCTTGTGGTGCTTCTTGCCTTTCATTTCATGGTGAAGCAGAAAGACAGCTTTTCAGTTCCCACTGATGATCAAGTGTAATTATTTCTTTTACTGTCATGGTCACAAGTCCTCTCCATGAACACAGTTCTCTTGAGTGCCCATCTCCTTCCCAGGTTCTTCTGGGGGGCTGAGAGGATACTTGGCAATCACTTGTAAATATGAGATAAGTTTTATTTTAAAACTGTTCTCGTACAGCAGCTAGGGTGAAAGTCCTAGAGAACCTTCTGGTCATCCTTCTAGAGTCTAATTTCTGAGGATTAATGCTAGAGGGATTGAGGGGATTAATTTAATGAATTCATAAGAGTTCTCACTGTGAGGTTTATGTCTGTTGTATCTTTACCCTTCAGAAAACATCAGGACTCCAAAAAAGAAGAAGAGAAAAAGAAGCCACACATAAAGAAACCTCTTAATGCATTTATGTTGTATATGAAGGAAATGAGAGCAAAAGTTGTAGCAGAATGCACATTGAAAGAGAGCGCAGCCATCAACCAGATCCTCGGTCGAAGGGTAGGTAACGAGGGAGAACCACCAGCCAGGACTGAAGCTCAATACGATTCACACTGCTTGTGGAGAAAAGGAGTTGCTTCCTTCTGAATCACTGTGTTTTCCTGTTATTTTGATAATGGATAGGGAAGTGATTAAACCAAAGGCCTTCTTTTGGTCTTTGTTTTCGCAGGCACTTTTTGTCAGTGGAGTCATTCACAAGGAAGGGGGGAGAGTTAACACTGTTATTTCAGTGTTATTTCCATTACCTGGAGATGGAAAAATCTCAAAATTCTTACTTTGTCCTAGAAACAGGCAGAAAAGTAAATGGGGAAGGAAAAAGCCTTTGGGAAGTACAGTACCACTATCAGCACCTGTGAAAACCAGGAGAGGAGAGTGGGTGCTGGTGAGGAAGGGGGAGGAAAGACCTGTAAATCTGTAACTGAGATTGGGCTCATGACAAGTGGTTCAGCTTCTGAACCCTCTCCTCTGCTCTTTGTTTTTGTTTAGTTTTCTTAATTCTCCCCTCTCATCGGGAAACAACGGGGCTGAGTGAGCATGAATTGTGACTCAGTTAAGTTTACCAAAGTTACAATCTGGAGTTATGAATAAAATAAGAATGGCAGCGTGCCATATCTTCTTTTTTTATCTCTTTTTCAATTAAAATCAACTCTCGCTGTCTTTACATGTAAATAATATGCTCTGCTGTTAACACGCTTAAAAAAAACAAACTTGTGCTTTTTGTTTTGTCTTGTTTTCTTTTCTTCACCTCAGTGGCACGCGTTATCCAGAGAAGAACAAGCAAAATACTATGAACTAGCAAGAAAGGAGCGACAGCTTCATATGCAGCTGTACCCAGGCTGGTCTGCACGGGATAACTATGTAGGTTCCTATGTAGGTGGAAATTTTTTTAGTAGTTGAGCTTGTAGAAATGTGTATGTGACCTGCTGATCTACGACCACACATTGCACACAAGCACTACTTGGAAAGCGTGCCTCGGGATCCCAATCTGGTAACAACCATGGACGCTTCCTTCTGCGATACTAAAAGTATTGGGAATAATTCCCAGCCCTCCACTTGGAGAAGGTTTCCCAGCTGGGATTCGTAAAAGGTTGGAATTGGGGCATGGCAGTAGAGCTCTGTGAAGAAACTCTTGCCTTCACGTTTACCAGTGTCTAGAAAAGCTGTTTGGCTTGCTGGTCATTTTAAATTTCAATTTTTAAAACAAACTTAAAAATTCCCCTAGTATGGCTCCTCTCCTTTCCACCAAAAAGATGAATTATTAGTGTCTTGTGCTTATCTGTGTGAGAGTATAGTGGAAAGTGGAAGAATGACTTATCCTAGCTTCAGAGAAGGACTGGCAAAACCAAAAGCATGACTTGTTTGAAAGTCTTACTCTCAAGTGGGGTTAAATTAATTATTCCACACTCTACTGTTGTGTATTTCAATTATGTTTTACTTATTCATGGCCATATTATCCCCCCCTCTCATTTTTTAAGGTGTTTCAGAGCTTGTTATCAATTCATGGATTGTTTCCCCTCTCCACCTTTCAAAAAGCTTGTTTAGTAGCTAAAAGTAGTAGGGTTTTCTTTCTATTAAAAACACAAGGCCAGCACTGTAACTACTTACTGGTAGTATATAATCCCTTTAAAAAAAATTCCATAAAAATCCCCTAAAACTTTCAAGGTCTCTAACTGTGGAATGAGTTAGAGAATCTGCATTCCAGGCAGACTTCCCTGCAGGGTTGGGGTCCAGCAGCTGCAACACTGATGTCAGTTACATATAAGGTTACATATTTTTGTTTTGTGGAAATCTGTCTCTTCCATCCTCATCAGCATCACTGCCTGTTTTACCCTAAATAACCTGTTTTGCCGCAAATCGCAGAAACTGTGCCCTTTGTGACTGGCAATGTTTACCCCTGTGAGAATCTGTGCTTTTCTGTGTACGGGTGGGAAGAAGCCAGGTTAGAGTCTGCAGCAAAGGCCAGAGCAACAGCAACAGCTCTCTATGCTCTTCCACCATTTCAGCAGTGGAGAATACACATGCTCACTTATTTAGCAGTATGTACTTAAGGACACTTTTTCAAATCCTTCTTTCTTGATCATCTTTTCTTTCTATTGGGCTCTGCCTCCCTCCCTCCTTTGTTTGCCATTGCAGGTGTAGCCATGCGTGCTTCTCAGAGGAAACCTCATTAAGCCCAATGAGGCACTGCTTCTGCTTACATGTATTTTCCCTTTCTTTGCAGCATAGTCTGGTCCTGACTGTCAGAACATAGGCTTGAGGTAGTTCCTCAGCACTGTGCAGTATCATCTTCTTGGGTGTTCAAAAGGGAGTAGAGGCTTGACTGATGGTTCGGGAATGCTCATTCTGTGCAGTGACTGTGCCACCGACAGGCGGGCATGTACAAAGCCTTCAGTGTTTTGGACCTTTTACTTTTGTCCTCACCGTGTGAGCACTGAGAAACCCTTTCTTCTCGAGCTAAAAAGGACAGGATGAGAAAGCCTGCGCTTCCCCAGCGGCTTGATGCTGTACCCCCAGGTGACCTTCAGGGGGAACCTTCCTGCCTGAGGAGAGCGCGGTACCTTTGCATCACAGGATTGCATCATCTGCAGGATGTATTTATTTCTCCTCTCCTGGTCCATTCAGAGCTCTCCGAGTTCCCCTCCTCTCTTGGCATTTTGTGGGGTGTCAAGCCCTTCATGCACCTAGAAGGGGGGAGCACATTTGGGCTGCCTGAAATGTTGAAATTGTCAGGCATCTCACATCAAGCACAAGTAAGCAGCCAGCTATAGCCCAGGTCTTCAGAAATAGGAGCAGTACATTCAAGAAATGCGGCTTTCAGCCTGCTCTTAAGTCAGAGAAGAGGATTCAGGGAATCCCTTGTGGCTTGTTGGTGTCACAAGGCTCATTTGCTCTTCTTGAGATCTAATATAGGATGTTAAGCAGCTCTAAGTGCTGGATGTAGGGGTCTCATCACCATGCTTGATGCTTGTCTAGAAAACTAGTACCAAAGAACTGTGCAGTCTTGTCAAAATCTATGTTGGTTTGGCTCTATAGAGGGAGCTACCAAAACAATTAGCAAGTATTTACATCCACCTTCACTTGCAGACGAAGAATTTCTATAGTACGATGACGAAAAATGTTGCAGACTGTCTGCTCAAGTCTGAGGAGGACAATTGGAGGGAAAAGCAAAAAAAAATCCTGCAGAGCCTAGAAAACCTGCTGCTGTGATCCTTTTCTTAAGTCCTTGTATTAATTTATCTACGTAATCAAATATCTTCTTGTAGCACGGAGATTGAACAAGGAAGCCAGGTGATTCTTCTCCCTCTCTCCTATGAAAAGGGTGTAAAAGAAGTTAGTGGGACGTCTGTCAGTTCTTTGTTAGAAACAGTTTTCAAAGCTTGTGTTGAACCAGAAATTCCTGGTCCCTGGCTGACATTCCTGTCTGTCATTTTTAGCAGATCTTTTTCCAGCCATTTTTAACAGATTGTTCCTTACAGGGATTATAGCATTTTAATACCTGTCTGGAAGAGTTTGTAAAGGACCGGTGATTCCTGACCTCTGTTCTGGCTGGCCCTTGTGTGAAGAAGTTATGAGGTCTTAAATTGGAAGAGCTCTTGAATTCCTGAATGTACTGCAAAAACTGAGCAAATTTCCCACAAGATGCGGCATGTTAATTATGCAAGTTACCTCCTGGAGATTAAATAAAAATCAGGCTTATGGTCCTGAGGCAATTGTCTGGTTTCAGTTACATGGTTGCAAACCTTGAAAAAATTCACCGACTTTCACAGAGTTACTGTCAATCTAGATCCGTATCGATGGAGCAGTCTGAGCCTCTTGTATCTTATGGTATATGCAGACTTCAAGATACAACATTTTTCCTTATTTTATTCTCAGGGAATTTTGGGAGCAGTGCTTGTCTATCTTGTCTGCCTGTTATGTTGGACTGATGGCTGCTGTAGCAATTGACTCAGAGCAACATCTTTCGATATCCCTCAAAATGACCTCTGAGGTGTTGGAGGCGATTTCTCAGCAGCATCTAGCTCACGGGATTATGTGCACATCATTTAAAAATCCTTTAAAACTGGTGGTGCACACAGCTTTTTCTGTCACCAGAAGGTTCTTATGTACAAGATCATTTTTGTTGCAGCTTGGAAAGCCCAGTTTACAGCCCTGAGCAAGAGAGGGGGAAAAAGTACATAAGTCCTATGCCAGAAAGCCAGCTTTTGGGGTGGAAAAATATGACAACAACAAATCAAGGTGCAACATTTATGCTCAGGAGTTTTTTTGCCAATACATGCCACAGAACATATCATAGTGAGCATCCCAAATGTTACAGTTGATGTAACACCTGAAGCCCAATCTTAGCCATTTACAGTCAGACCAACCTACTGAGAAAGATGTTCACCATGTGCGAGAACTTCTTGGCTTCACCAAGAAGTCCAGCCCTTCAAAAGTGCTGTGAGATTCCTTTTTCCAAGACATGTTTGTTCCCTTTTGACCACAAGGGACTGCTAGCCTGGTGTCTTTTCACCAACTTTTCTTAGTACCACATCTTCAAAAGCAGGGAACTCTGTGCTGTTCACACTTGACATTGTTGGCTCAAAAGCTTCTGGGGAGCTATGAAAATGAAATTATTCTATTCCCTTGCACTGGCCGTTTTTGTACTGCTCTCCAAACCCTGTAGCTTTGTCTTAGTAAAGTTTCTTAGAAAACAGCTTTTCTCTTTTGTGCCATGCTTAGTACTTTATAACTCTTCTCTTGAGTTTGTTTGGGATTGTTGGGTTTCCACAGAAGTCAGGCTCCTAGTCCCATCCTCTCCCAGGCTGCTGGAGGGAAATGGAGAAAGGGCCTCTCCCCCTCCAGTCAGAAACCATAATAAAATGTATTGTCTTGTGGGACAGTATTTGGGAAAAGGATGCAGTTTAGCAAAATATTACTGGTGATTTTTTCATGTGATAGAGCAAAATGTGGGAAGGGTCTGTTGTATCTGGATTCCCCTTCTGCTCTAATGGTCAGGTTTGGGTGCCAAGGAACTCCAAGGGCTCAATCTGACCTTGCTTATGGACTCCCCCGTCTTGAATCTCCAATGTTATCCCTTCTTCCCCCACCCCACAGAAAGATGACCAGAAATTATTTTTTTAAAGCAGGAGCATACAAGTGTCAGAGTTTCTGTCATGGTAATGTTATCTCAAAAAAAAACATTTTGAAAATTGTTCTACCCCCTCCCAAGCTACTTATGGCATTGGTGGGTGTTGGCCTTGGGGGGGGAGTGCAGCAAGGCTGTCTGAAAAGGCACAGGGTGGGCAGGCAGAGCCATCCCTGGGGTGTGAGCATCCCCTTGGGGACACAGGAGCCTCCCTGCACCAGGAGTGACCTGGCACTGCGCTTTGGTGTCCTCCCTGGAGAGCCTCCTGCACCAGCCACAGCTCAGTGCTGTTTTGTGAGGAGACACCTTTTGTAATCCTTCTCATTTGTGTATGTTTCCTGCAGGGAAAGAAGAAGAAGAGGAAAAGGGATAAGCAGCCAGGAGAGACCAATGGTAAGTAAAAATAAGTCTAAATCTCTGGCTTAGTGGAAGTGTGGCAATCCAGGTGTGACGCTCCTAGGTACGGGGGAGGTGGGTACAAGTCTCCTGGCCTGAGGGGGAGCCGGCCCCTATCCTAGACAGCCTTTTTTGTTTGTTGTTTTTTTTTAATGCACTCTAATTATTTACGCGTTATCGCCCTTCTAAAACTAGTAACCAAGCCACTGCATGTCAGAGCCTCTCGTGACGTTAGCTGAATTTGTACGTGACCATTGCAAAGCCTGTAGCTGCAGAGCCGTAGCTGTAATGCCTATGCCATCGTTCCTAAAGTTGTCCGCTTATTTTGCGCATCTGTGTGTGCGTGTTCGTACGTATGGATGTGTTTGGTATTGGTTTGGGCTGGACCTGGATGTTCTGATGCATGCCTTACAGTGGTAAATCGCACCCATTTTAAATTAAGGAGGTTTGCCATTCTGTCTAGGACATTAGAAATACTGCATAGGCAATCTCATAGTCAATTTTGAAGAAGCCCTGACTTAGTTTTTTTGAAGCCTTTGTATAATTTGTTCTTTTTTTTCAGAACACAGCGAATGTTTCCTAAATCCTTGCCTTTCACTTCCTCCGATTACAGGTGCTAACGTCATTTTGAGTCATTTAAAATAGTTTATAAACTGCTTTTTAATTTTTTTTTCCTTCCATTATAGATTTTAACATTAAACACTTATGACATTAAGAAAAAATACCATCCACACGTTTTGATAGTATTTATTATCTATATATCTTTATATCTATTATATGCTTGATAGTATTTTTTAATTTTGTTTTTTGTTTTTGTAACAATTGCTATTAAAACAGTAATACAGTAAAAATAAAATAACGCAAGAGTTGTACTAACTGTGCAAATTGAATATGCAGTATTTCTTTAAAGAGACTGATAAAGAATGGAAGCAAGTCAGTAATGAACCTCCTTAATCTAATGGCATTTTTCATGGCTCCCACTAAGTCTTCTCACATTAGCATGCATATGCATTTTTTTATTATTATTTTACTTTTGGATTTTATTTCTTTTCCTTGCTGCTCAAGCCTCTTCATTGCAATTCACTAGCTGTACTAACTCAGCAACTTGCCATGCTTTACATTTTATTTTCTGGCTGATACTAACATGCTCATTTCGCAATCTGCTTATTCTTATCCATTCTTTTAAATACAAATTAATAAAACCCAATAAATTGAATGTTATTCCAAAAGCTGCATTATCCCAGGAGATATAATTTCCTTTTTTTTGTTTGTTTATTTTTGGTTTTTGTTTCCTTTTATTTTTATTTTGTATCTGAGTTGAAGAAAAAAGCATGTTCAGGATCTAACTTCCATACTCAGCTTCTTTTCTTTCTTTCCCCCCTTCTCAAAAAAGAGAATAAAAAAAAACAACCCACCCCAAATAAATCTTGCCTGAAACATCCTGCTAGACCATCCACAAAGACTTTCCTCTACCTGCTCTTTAAAAGGGAAATAAACAGTCCTTCATAAAGGGATACTGCAGCTTTAATTGCAACAGCTAATCTCAAGAGTTGAATAAAAATGTGATTATCACTTTTTTTTTTTTAACTTTAAAATCAAAAGTCAATATTTTGCAATTAATAACGAGGACATTGATTTTTATTCCCTTTTTTATTTTTATTTTTTCCTTATTTTTATTTTTCTCTTTTTTCTCCCCCTTTCTCTCTTCCTCTCTCTCTCTCTCTCTCCCCCTCTCCCCTTTTCTTTTCTTCCTCTCTCCCTTTTCTGCTCGCTTTTCTTGAACTCATTCAGACCTGAGCGCTCCTAAGAAATGCCGAGCGCGCTTTGGCCTTGATCAACAGAATAACTGGTGCGGCCCCTGCAGGTGTGTATAGTTTTCCCAGACTCGCTATGGCTGATTTGCAGCTGGTTTATTTGGTACTTTCCCCTTTTTTTTCCTGCCTTGTTGCTTTGTAGCTCTGTGTTGTGATCTGGAAGACACAAGGGAGTGGGACACTGCTATGAGTTATCATCTCTCTGAAAGGGTTTTGCTTTTTTTTTTCGTTGTTGGTCTTTTTTTTTTTTTTCTTCCTCTTTGCTGCTGCTAGCCAAAAACCCACTGTAAAACAGCATCAGCCTTAAGCCCATCTGATCTGTGGCTCAACCACGCTCCCTCCACCCAAGGAAAGTTGCTCCCAAAGCCCTTGATAACAGGCGTTGAGTGCAGTACCAACACCGGACAGACACACAGCCGTGTCGGAGATGTTTTCTTTTCTTTTGGCTCGTGTGAAAGTCCTGTTTTCTTTCCTGCCCGTGGTACGTGGGGAGATTACCAAATAAAACTAAGGTGATTGAAAGCTAAACGTAGCTGTAGCTAAGATGACACAGTCCAAATGAGCTCTATCCACCATTGTGTTGTATTTTTTGTGTTTACCTTATGCTAACAGATGCAAATACTCCAAAGAAGTGTCGGGCATTGTTCGGGCTTGACCGACAGAGTTTATGGTGCAAACCATGCAGGTATAATACTACCCATTAGGCCTTTGGGGAAATAAAAGCAATCTGTCCTTTTAGTGCATTTGTGTGATTTTATTTTTTAATCTTTTTTCCCCACTCCCCACCTTTCTCTCTCCCACAGCATCAATTGCTAATAATCTTTGATCTTTGGAATTTCTTGCTAAATTAATGCCATTTTCTCTCTTTCTTTACCAATAACCTCTCCCTGGTGGTAGAACTGGGAACAAGAAAAATTCAAGTCCTTAAAGCTGGCAGTTTTTTGGCTTTTTCATTATTTTGTTCCAGATTGTCAGCAAATTGGACATCTGTATTTTGTCTTTCATTTGGGTCTATGTCCGCTGCCTCCAAAGGCTTTTTAAAAAGGTTCTGGGATCTGCAGCACGAGTGTTTTTCTCGTTATTAGAGACATAAAAGCCAGTGTTTACAGCTTATATTGTACTAATTATTTGGTGTTGTCTGCAAAATTAAATAGCTACCTGTAGGCTTCTATGCCTCAGTAATGTCTGTGTAGCTACCAATTTTATAAATGATCTGGTGTCTTTTTTTCTGATTCCAAAAAGACTTCTTTTTTCCTAAATTTTATCCCAGCAAGTGAGCTGTAAATGTCTGAGCTCTAGATAAAACTAATTACAACTTTAGTGGGACAGTTTGCAGCATTAAAAGGAGATGAAAGACATCAGAGAGCCCAAATTTTGACAGCCCATGTTCTACTGGAGTTAATTCCATGTATAACTCAGTACGTACTTCTTTCTTGGTGGAGGGATACCAAGTAGTTCTTTTCTCATTCCTTTTTCCTTATATGATCGCATTTGGTTAAATTTGTTGTTTCTTTGTTCTGATACAAGCAGTCTTTGAATTTGGAATATTATGATGGTAGGTATTTCAACCCAAACCACACTCTTGTTTGTAGTGATTCCTCTCCCACATTTTCCCCTCTTACTCATGCCAGTCCCATGTGCTCCATCTCATTTAGAATGTAGATCAGACGTTCATTGTATTTTGTGTATGCACGCAGTCTTGTTTGTGCTTAGTGTGGAGGATAACATGGCTTGAGGGTGGTGTTGTGTGTTAAAATACCAGCTGTGGCACCAGAAATGTCTTCAACAGTTTGCATACTGTCCCGTTTGAGGCATGCTAGTACCAGGTGTTGGGGTCTTAAATACCAGAATCAGTACATACGTTAAACAGGCTTTGAAAGTAGCAATTGCTCAAAGGAAGAAGAGTGGTGTAGCCCCTTCATGGTGGCAGGAGGCTCAATTCTCATGCTAGCCAAAATGCTGTGTTTAATTAGGCTTTATTCTGTGATTAGTTCACTACATGTTATCATCTGATATTTGTACAGTCTAGAGATATTTGAAGCATGTTAGGCTCTGGATGCCAAGTACCAGAACTGGGGGCACATGGTATTTGTGTGACTTTATCTTTCCC